TTTGCTCTTCTGTAAATTTTATAATTTCTCAAATATTGTTTTTTATACAAAACCAATTTATATTTATTTTAGTGGAAAGCCATATTATACCACTCTTGTTTTTCTTCGAGGCATGCAATGTTACATTTTTATAAATAGCATCCTAAGTAATAAATATTTTATAATTTTAAGTTTAGAATCGATGGAACAACATTTTGATAAATATAATTGTTAAGTTTTAAATTTAAATATTGATTATTAACAAAGTTATTGTATAAAATGTAAATAGGGTGCCATACCATATCTTGTCCTCTATAATTTATTTACATTTAATATTTTTTCGATTTCTAAAAATTCAAATTTTGTTCTTAATTTAAAAATATCTAAAATGTAGCAATTTAGTAGTTAATACATTTATTCAAATATAGCAATTTATTTAAAAATTTTCTTAAAAATTCAAAAATTCATTAATTGGATGATTCTTCCAAATTTAATTTGAAAACAAATAAATAATAAAAGATGAAAAAACGGAAAAATTATAGCAGATTCTTCTCTACTGTTTATTTTAAGAAATAGTTTGTCCTCTGGTCACGTGGAGTTGGTTGATCCTCGGATGTATATCGAGTACACATCTTCGCCAGTGAGAAACCAACAATGGCCGTTGATCACCTCGAGAATCGCGCGACTCGTATGGCATAAACGGCATGCGGACCTTAGATCACGTAGACTTTAACAATAGCGGATTCCTCGCCACGCAGTGTGCACAATGCACACTGATCGGGTCGAGTAAGAATCCACTCGTCTTTGTTTGACTAGTTATACAATGCGAGGGAGCACGAAAAATGACTAATTGTACACTTACAGGTTAATATTTCAATTTAATAAATTTTAATCATTACTTAATATACTTAAAATTAAATATTAAATGTTTAATTTATAAGATTTTCAGAGCAAAAAATTAAAAGATTCATTTGTGAGAAATTTTGTATTTTAAGTTTTTGTAATTTTGTATTTTATAAAATAATTCCATGAATTCTATTTTTATCTATTCTTTAATAAAAAATTCAATATTATAATCATTAATTAATACTTCAATTAAAAATCCTATTAAAACAACAATTGCAATTGAACAAGTAGAAACTTTTAACATTATATAAAAAAAAACTCGATGCAGAATTCGAAGAACCATACGTAGTTAGGGAAGTTCGATAACGTATTTACCGCTTAGAAGGAAAAGTCCGCAGGCTACGAGGGTCCTATGATCGGAATAACAATGGCCGATCATAGCCGACACTGTTGCGGCAAGAATCAGGATCGCGGCGACCACTTGGAACGGTGCGGAGATCCTGAAACAAGAAGATTGAGAAGAAACATGAAGAGTCGAATTAGATCGTCATTAAGGATGAGGAAGCGTCTCCGCCATTCATTTATGCATTCGCAACGCTACGCATTTTTAATGTGCTATTTTTAAATATTCTAGCTTCTACATCGCGTTTCTCGAGGAAAGAAAAAACAATAACAGTAGCAACTATTCGTCTATTGTAACCCCATTCTTGGAATCGATAGCACCTTTATTAGGGTGCTAAAGTGTGACTTTACGTTTTACTATTTTTTTCAAGCACGTCAAGCTGTGAATAAAGATTGTAAACGTAAGAATAATCGATCGAGAACATTTTTACGAGCAAAGGATATCTATCATGAATATCGCGATTTATCCGTCGCAATTTCTTCCACTTAAGATTCCGTACACAATGTTGCCTCTTTCCGAGTGGTAGTTTTAATTTAGGTACGCATTCCATAAAATGGATTAATATTCATTAATGTTTCTAAATTAAAAATAGTTTTAAAATATAAAAATAAAATTAAAATGTTATTTTAGTTTGAGCTGTACTGTGTGTTCATATTTCATTATGCCGTTTATAACAGATTTAGAAGCTTTACAATTATATATATCATTAGGTATATACTTGTAAGAATCATTTAATATAAACAATTAAGGTGAACTTCCGAAAACGTCCAGCGCCTGATTGCCGTAAATTTTGGCAGAAATATTCCAAATGATGTCAAAAGAATGCTTAATGGATTTTTATCGATATGAAGATTTAATAATTTATCAAAAATATTTACACAAAGTTATGTATTGTTGGAATGGAGTTTCGTTGCTTCCGTGCCAAGAAGCATTCGATTTTTCAAGCAAAGTGAAGATGTTTTTGACTTGTGTCAAGACTCAAAATCAATGTTTTTTTTTGTCAGAACGACATTAACGATATTAATATTAATGTGCCTAAATCAGTTCTCAAAAAAATAGTATGCAAAAGATTTATTAATTCATTAAGCTCCAAGAAGAGTAAGACACTACAATTTCTTAATTTGTATTTGTACTTCAATTTGAGTAATAAATTAATTATTTCGTTTTCGACATCTTTTTCTGGTTCTTCAATCAACCCATTATATGATAAACGTCAATAACTGAACGCCTAAGTTACAAAAAGAGTCAAGAGTCCAGTTTTAACCGAAGAAAAGTCGCGTCTATAATTCAAATATATTTCACGAAGAGAAGAAAAAATCCGAAGAATATCGAATACGTTTTCCATGCTGAAAATTCAACGAAGACGACGTCTATATATACGACTCTACGTTTCGTAAAATTCCTGCAGTATTCCATTCTTAATTCTTCGCTCGCTTCTCGTTCTCGGCGCGGTTGCAATCTGCGCTTCCGGAGGAAACGCGAGTTACATCGCGAGGGATTGTCATTTGCAAGTGGAGGGCAACCGCGGGATGTTTCGAAGCAGCTATAATACACACGTATTCGTAGCTATCGGGGTAAATGGGGCATACCGGGTAACGGCGCAGCAGCCCGCCTATCGACCTGCTCGAGATATTTAAGTCTCGATCTCGCGGCAATTTCATAGCATGACTGTCGGTTGCTGCGGATCCTCTTGTTTCCGCGCGAGCTCGACTTCAAGCATCTGAATACGATGAATCGCATTCGCATGCGTTTACAATTCCGCGGAAATTAATTAACAAAAAAAAGTTCGATAAAATCCGTAAATCTGAAAAGAAAATACGGAATTTTGAATAAATATGACAATCAAGATGACTAGAATGGGAAATTGTTGAATCTGAATAATTGTTATTTCATAACGAGAGAATAGATAGATAATAAAATTTAAGCACTGGGTATATTGTAGAAGAAATTATTTTTGTTAATAAATACAAATATATATATATATATATAT